GCAATAGTTAAATAAACTACACACATAATAAAATCAACATATACAAATAAACAAATTTACTACATTAGAATATATGACAAGCTATAACATAAAATCATTATGTATTATAATATATTAAAATAAAATATAACGGAACCTAATGTACGTGAAAAGTGCGAAATTCAGATTATAAATCACAATATCTAACGACTCACAAGACAAGCAAAATAAGCGGAACAGAAGTTTCCTGTTTTTTGTTGTTGTTAATTTAACAGAGTATAATTACTCACAAGGGATTTGGCGTAATTTCTTGTGTGTAAATATTATTAAATCGGTTATAGTTTTAGAATAGCACATGCATTTTACTAACATTAAAAATATTATGATATTTCCAATATCGTAATAATGTTTAAACGACATTTTGTTTGATATTTTTTTTAACATGTTCTCTGCAAAATCTCGTTATTAACACAATCATCTGCTAATTAAAACTATGCTTAGATTAGAACATAATTTTAAAATGTTAACAAACTTATGATAACATTTAAAAGCTATTAATATGTGTTTTTGTTGTGTGAGAAGTTTTCAATTGAAATTGAAAATTGTTGATTATATTATTGAACAGTCTGCATTTACATTAGCCCCACTTAGCCCATTAGATTCATTTGTTTTTATGTAACCCTTCTTATTGTTTTTTTTTGTATCTAGTTAAAAAAATTAATAATTTTTTAAAATCAATAAATAGCACTTTTACTTTGAACCTTATAAAGTCCATATCTTGTATACGGGCTTTTTGTTTAAAACGTAACAAAACAGACAACTGTCAACTCCTTTAATGGTGAACTAAGCACCTTTCGAGTTAAAGCGTTTTCAACTGTTTATGACCTGCATAATATATTCTAAAAATATTTTCCCGATGTTCTCTTGAAATATGAATTGTATAGATACTATGGCGTTTAACTCTTTATTTAGGAGCAATTAAAATATCAAAACAATCTCGAGGCAGTCTGTAAGATATGTGTAACGTTTATATCTGTCGTGTTACAGTACAGCTTGCTTCGGTGTGTATATGATCTTACATGTTACCTAACACATTGTAGGTACATAATATTATGTTCTATTAATATTCTATTCATACGGTATCTACTGAGTAAGCGTAGTGTATTTTTATTATTTTGTTTAATATATAATTTAATTCATAATGTACAAATTACTAGTGTAACTTGGCTCTTCCCCTGCTCCTCCAATATCTATTGTGTACGCTTGTTAGCATAAAATAACATCAACCGCCAGGCTAATAGAGGCGGTATTATCGCTGTACCTATTGTTTTGTTTACAGCCATGTCTCGTCGACGAATTTAATTTTAAAATATACAAGATAAATGGATTTCGTTCCATCGATATAATAATAATAATAATAAATTACAGTTTACACCGTGTATGAGGTTTTTTTATTAGAAAATTAAAAAAAAAACACCAGTGACACGTGTCAAATTACTAAAAGTATAATAAATATACAGTAAAAAATACACTTTAATTATAATATACACGTTCAAAAACAAAAAAATACGTTATTCATTAATAAATAATTGAAATAATATTAAAACGGGTTAATAAATTAAAACCAAAAAAAAAAGTCTACACAGCATCATACATCAACATGCTTATACGGCACATTGATTTTTAATTACTTCTAGGTAATATTGGGCATTGTTCGAAACTCAAACCAGTTAAATAGCTACTTTTTTCAAAAAATGTTCAATCATACGTTTTTTAAGAACACTGAACAGGATTAAAAAAAAGTACAAACATTTAAAGTTCCATCAAAGAGATAAAATACAAGTATTCTTTAGAATTTATGCACAGAAAACTAAATATTGAGTTACCTAAGCCAACTTTAATTTAATGAACTTAATTTTTAGTGAGGTTAGCTATAACGTATTTGGTTGTCACTTATTCGATCAAATTTTTGCACTATTTTAGTAGACTTACAGATCAGAGGTAGTATCGATGTATAGATAGATTGAAGAAGTAGGTGTTGTTATAAAAGTAAGTACTTGCTAGTACGTGGTGTCGATACAGACAAATGGCGACAAACGAAATAATGTAACTGCAATAATATTGTATCTGTGCGAGCCAAACTTTGGACAAATACCTATGCATATTTAATTTATGTTCCACATTGGAAACAATACAATATTATTGCTTGGGCGTGTATGCAAAATAGTGGTCCACACATTTTATTTTGTTGTCCAATAATATAATATGATGACGATTACAATGCTTGTGCTTATACATTGTAATATGACAATAGTCAACGATATAGCACCAACCTCAAACACATAATAACAATAATAATAATAATAATAGTAACATCGAAACTAATTTAATTCAGTGGACGAGTGGTGTGTGTGTGTATCCCCTTTTCCATGGAGTGTTGAACCTACCTCTCGTTTGTCCAAATATGCGGAAAATCTGTAAGCCGGTGTTATATTATATTATGTACACAGGCTTTTGTGTGTTACCCTTCTGCGCCCATAATACCTATAATATATGGCCGCTATATGCACTATTATACGAGACGTGTGTGTGTGTGGCTTTATTATTATTTATACAATTATTATTGCCGTTGTTGTTGGTTCGAGTGTTTTTCTAGGCGCGTCACATACAATTTTGTATTATATAATTGAATATTTTCTCGCTCTCAACGCCACCCATCCACATAAAGGGCGAACAGTGTATAAATGTATAACCTCCAGTTTACACGATAGAGGAGCATTCACACGGACCAGTGTTCCTTATTATGGTGTTGCTCCCAAACAAAGTTAACCGCTACCGGCGAGGCAGGAGGTAGGAAGGAGATGCAATATATTTTATTTAGACATAGTTTAATTTTTAATAATAAAAACCACCCCGACTTTCAAGTGCGGCGCCGCTAGATCGTAATAGTCTAATGTTTTTTCAACACAATAGCATTTTATTAAACATTACCGATAACATTGGGTAATACCAATATTCTTAAGTTTTCTGCTTGTATATATTATTTCCATGTAAAAAAAAACTCGAGCCCGGGAATAGAGCGTGTGGAAAACGGCTTTTTGAACTGACATGACTGAAAATGATACATTCAGTATCGAAAAAATAACATGGTAAAAACCATAGTTTTATTTTATGTTTTAGTATGTTATTTTTATTAAACCATCGCGAGTTGAATAATTTTTAGACAATATTTTAACATTTTTGGTATAATTTTGAAAACAGATATTTGAGATTGAGAAATGCCTTCTGTTCTGATTTGAAGTTCACTGGTTGTTGGTATCACATATATATATATATATATATATATTTGTTTAAATTTATATTTTTGTATCGAGCTTGTCTGTTCAAAATAGTTTATTAAGTTTTTGGTTTATATTACTGTGATATGGCGTTTATACTTAATACCGTGAGAAATTTTGTTGTCCGAAGCCAACGTCCCAACGTTAGCCCGAACTTTAGCCGCAGCGCTGGACGCTAGCTGCCTCAATGGCTTAGCAAGGCCAAGCCTATTAAAGAAATGGACCGTGATGTCATCTCGCTAAGCTTGCGCTTGCCGATGAATTATTGCAAGTTGGAATCGTCTTGGAAACAGCCCAGAGTGGTCATCGTTGGAGCTGGCATGGCGGGTCTATCGGCCGCCCAACATCAGTCTGGCATTCATAATTTTGTTGTGCTCGAAGCTGCCGGCAGGTCTGTTGGTTTCATTGTCCAACACACACAGCGACAGACTGACGGGGTTTCAGGAAATCTATAGGAGAGGAGGTTTAATTGTTTGCCCTCGACGTCAAAAATAGCTGCTTGTGAAAGTTGACCCTTTTGCGCTGTCTCGTCATCGAAACACTTTTCAGGGTTTTGCACCGCGTCGGCTACATTGAAATAGTCGTCGTATTAACCATAAAATAAATAGTAAGATATAATAAATGACTTGATGTTACAGGGTGGGTGGTCGCATACATTCGGCGTGGTACCGAGACGTGATGACAGAACAGGACATGGACTCGGTGTACGGGTACGAGGCGGATTCGGTGTACCGGTTGGCGCGTGGGATCGACCGCACAACTGGCGCATGGTTCGTTCCGGGCGAACAACGGCAGGTTAAGGACAAGATAGTGGCGAAAGAGGTGAGCCAATTCAGGGAGATCGAGAGGGCGGCGGCTATCTATGTACACGGTAGCTGACGATAGTATAGGTCATAATGTAATTGTTGGTAGGTCGTTGTTTCAAACTAGTGCCGAGTTGCGAGTGGGACCCAAAGCTGTTAAAATCATTGATGTCCGAGAGGGCATCATTCGATCTAGCTGTTCAGATTACGCCAGCCCAGTGGTTCTTGTTGGCAAAAAGGACGACAGTGAAGCGTCTGATGAAGACAGCGATGATGAAGTTATGGACTTGTAAGATGATGGTGACGAAGAAGGATTAAATGTGAGTGGCTTATTTGATGATGAAGTGGTTCGATGATGATGAGGAATACGAACCAGTAATCAATAACAAATCAAAGGCTGAGCAGCGGATGTCTGTTAACAAGCATCGGAAGAACTCTGTGGTGTATCGTATAGGTGACTTAGTGGCGATCAAGCGAACGCTATTTCTTCCTATGTCCAAACTGGTTGCAAAATACCTAGGACTCAACCGCATAGTTTGTCGACATGGACCAAACCGTTTTGAGCCTTGGTGTCCAAACAACGACAGTGATGAAGTATCAGCATCCGAGGCGAATACCATTCAAAGCAGGGAGTATGTGGGGAACCACCAGAGTGAACCAGTCAACAGTGAACCATGAGATGGTGTGGCGCGCGGTGGGAGGACCAGTTAGTGTGTGTGTGACCTGCGACTATAGACGTGTCTTATAATTTTTGTTAATTATTAGAGTCTGTAAATATATATCTGTTAAATAAACGTTTGAATGATTACACAAGGATCCGATTCCACATATTATATAACATTCCAAAATATGTATTGAAATTTAATTAAAACGTTTATTAATAATAAAAAAAAAGATAAAACAATAAGTATGTTTGGCTCATAAAAGCATTTATAATTTTAAATGTTTCTGTAAATAAATCGCTTCGTTATCAGCTCCACATACGAGCTGTTGTTTTTGAATATCCAGAGAATTAATTGGAGAATAAATCGGTTTTATCACATCATTTACGGACAAACGCGTTTTCACCTTATCCGTGTTGACCCAAAAGTTTGAATACTCTAAATCTCCTGAAACCAAATTTAAATACAAAAATTAAAAAACAAAATTTAAATAAGTTTTTATTGTTGCCGAAGAAAAAAAAAATCACCAGGATCATTGCGACACATGTACGACTTTTTAGAGCTCCATTGCAATAATCGTCCGCCGAACGAACAGGAAAACATGTGATCGGGTTCCAGAGGATGAAATGCTAGTTCGGTCAGGGCTGACGTATCACCGCTGCTCATCGTAGTCAGTAGACTGTTTGTTCTCATGTCCCATACGCCAACGTCACCTTCTTCAGAACCGGTAAATATGAAATGCTTTTGACTAGGATGTTGAGCAATACAAGTCAGTGGCACTTGATTCTAAAAACCCCACGTTTCTCGATACTATTAATTTGTCAAACTTACAATAATACAAACATCCCAAGGTATTTATGAATAAACTACCTGAGTGAAATTATTAATATCAGCGGTAATATCACTTTTATCCACTCTTAAATCCCAAAGTTTCATCTGGCTCAGCGAGTTGCAGCAAAGCACTTGAGTTTCAGTCAGAAAACAAATGCAAGTCAATGGTGAACTGCTAACATCCTCTAAACAATTTAAGAAAATCAAATTTAATATTTGTTTTCATTTTATAGAAAAATGTATTCATTTGATTTAACAGTCAATTGCATAATTATATATGAGCATTATATACTATAAGTTTTAACGTCGATGATTGATTGCTGAATGCTAAACTAAAGTAGTCTAAGTATTATGAATAGAATTACAATTATTTCAATACATTTCCTGCAATAATATTTTAAGTATTTATTTACCAATAGCTTGATGAACTTGTTTGGTGTTTAGTGAAATAATGTTGATTTTGTAATCTTCACCGATTGTCGCTAATGAATAATTACATACAGCTATATCTTTACAGCAACACTTTTGCCCTTTTCTAAAAAATATTATATTTTTTCAATGTATATACCAAGTATACAACTTAACAGTGCATTCAATAAATTATTCATTAATAAAACAAATCTTATTTTACTCGAACGAATGCAGTTCCTCCCAGGCTGTTACTTCTTTTATGTGAACCGTAGGCGATTCATTTTCTCCAATTATTCTATATAATTTAACAGTTCCACGATCCGTACTCACTGCCACAAATTTGTTATCTAAAAACTAAACAATTTTCTTTAATTTAATATAAAATGAGACAATTACGTACATAATTATATTAGCACATTTTTAATTACAAGCACAAAAATATAACAACCTAAACTATACCTGATAAAAAATAATATTACATTATAAAAAAATATTAAATTTAAACAGAATATTATTATAATAATAATTCATAATTGTAACAAGTTTCAAGATTCCAACAAGAGTTGTAACCAGCAAATCTGCCACCAGATTAAGGAAATGTAAAAAAATTGGTATTTAGGAATCATATTTGATAGCAATTTAAGGTGGAATCTACACTTTAAAAACTTAGTCGGGAAACTGCGTTCTATATTTAATAAATTTGTCATACTTAGAAATATGTTAAAGGGTCCAACTATAAGAAATATTTATTTCGCTTTTTATCAGGCTACGTTCCAATATGACCTCCTGGTTTGGGGGGGGGGGGGGAGCAAAAAATAGTTCTTTTAAAGATCTACAAATTAATCAAAATATTGTTTTAAAAATTATTTTTAACAAAAAATTTTTTAAACTTATGCCAACCGATCATAAGAAAAATATGAAGTGTGGGGTAGATAATGTAAAAAAATTAGTTTATAGGTGGCTTTTTTCTGAGTTATTGAGCTCACAATGATAATCATATCTGCATTGAATGTTTGTCACGCATTATCATATACATATATATAATTTATTATTTTGTCTCAATATAGTTTTATTTGAATGCCAACTCTCAACTCCAACACAAGCCTAAACACAAAAGAGTGGAATATTTATATTTTCTGTATATAATATTTGATTATGTATGTAGATGTATTAAATATAAATTTAAAAGTAATAATACTATTTCTACGAGACATACTCTAATCTGTGTGACATCGCCATCCTGTTGTACGGAATCCAAAAGTTTTGGAGGGAAATCCTTTGCCAAGTCTTCATCCTGTGAACTTAAGCCCCATAGCTCCAAAACGTTGTCCTACGTAACATACAAATAATTTCAGGTTTTCGAGTCGGTTTTTAACAGCTACAACGTACCTCGTCGTTGTCCCAAGAACCAGTGACAAACATTGTTGAAGCCATCAAATCTTCCGGTTTCCATCTTACTTTGTTTACTTTTCTACCGATAAATTCTGCAAACGTATTTGAATGTACCATTATCGTAGGTTAATATTATTTTTCAATTAAAAAAATAATTTCTAGTTGATTACTAGTAACGTTTTGCGCTATTTAATATTAATTTAAATGTAAAATGTAATTTATTTTCGGTAATAACTAATAAATAATAATTATTAATTGTGTTCGGCGTGCTAAACAAACTATTCTTATCAGTAATCTCTTATCACTTTTTTGATTTATTCACGATGCCTTGTAACCGTTTTCACATTAAAACGTTGCCAACTTTTGATACCTCTGATGGTTTTCTTATCAGCTTTATAATAATTCAGAATTTCCAACTTAGCGGTCCTATTCTGAATTTTAATGAGTATTGTTCAACCTTAGAATTTAGAAATAACAAAATTGTGTAATTTCTAAAATATTTTGTCTCGAAGGTGGCAGTGTTAATATATTTTCCTTGTACTGAGATTTGAATCAAATTTTTTTTCTTTTACAGTTGTACATTTTTACCTATTCTTTAAATTGAATTTTAGTTCACAATGATTTAATATAATATGCTATAGTTTTAATTTACCTAGTCTTATTCCCTATAAAATATCCCTCTATTTCATTAATTTTGTTTTATGGAACGTAGTTTTCGAATCCTTGAAAAATGTCGAATAAATCGAAACAGTCAAACGATTCGATTGTTGATTCAGACAATGAAGAATTCGACTGTGACACACGAAGAATACCTCCTGAACATTTACCCATGTTTCGACGATTGGCGGAAGTCAACGGCAAAATAAATCGTATGAAGAGAAAACAGTTGGTGGATACTATGAAGAAGAAAAACCTTTTTATTGACGGAGATATAGATGTGTTAAAAAAACGTCTTAAGAACCATTACAGAATGCAAGCGCTTATTAAAGCGAAAATCTGTGAATCGGAGTCAACATATTTTCCATATTTTGTCATAATAGATATAGAAGCTACTTGTACTGAGAACAATCCTCCTGACTACAAGTGAGTATTTTAGAAATACAATCTATACTATCTACTTTGAAACGCTAAATAAATAAAAAAAACTCATGGCAATAGAGTCCTTTAACCTTTTAAACTTGTTTCTCCTGTTTAACCCTTTAAACTGTTCTCAAGCTTGATTTTATAACAAACTGTTGAGCCATCAACCGCACTCTATCTAGCTAAGTTTTTTATCATAAGATATTTATTATATCAATATTTATCATAGGATTTTATAATACAAAAAAAAGGAATATTTTATTATATCTAGTTAAAATAAGTGTATATTATTGAACTGCATCTTTGTTTATTTTATAAGTGAAGTCTGTATTTCTTGTATAATATTTAGTATATAGTACATCATATTTTTTCTTTTAAACAAGTGGAAGTTATTAATTTATAAGTAAGAAAACAAACTTTACTGTAGATGGAACGCGTGATTTATCGTACAAATATTTGATTTGTATTATAATACAATTGTTTGGAATTTAAGAAATTGTACTGTCATATTGGTGCTAATAATGTTTGACATTATTAATTAGACTAACGTTTTTAAGTTGTTAAATTAGTATTTATTTATTCATTTTTTGTATCATATATAATATATTTAGAACTTTTGTCCTATTTTAGAAATTTCGACCTTTTACCCAACTTTTTTAAACCGGGCCTTTTGTACCTGGACTTTTAATTTCCTAAACTTTCTGTCTGAATTAGTTTTTGACAACAACTTTCTAAACATATTTTCAGAATGTCTTATTAGGCAGGATAGTCCGTTTGCTTTGATTAAAATAATGTATTTTTCATTAACATCATTTGTTTCTGAACAATACTTTTTTGTTGTCATTTTGCAGACATGTTTACAGGTTATCTCAAATAATTAGTTAAAATAAATTAAAAAAAAAAACTATTTAAGACTGCTTAAATGCAATTTTAGATTGAAGTAAAAAAATTGTAATAATTAAGTTGTTGATAGATGTCTGTAAAATAATTAAGTTATTAATAAAATACTTGTTATTTCAGATTTGAAATTATAGAATTTCCTGCAGTATTAATTGATGCAAAGAAACGTAAAATAATAGATCATTTTCAAGCGTTTGTTAAACCTACTATTAACCCGAAGCTGTCTGAGTTTTGTATCAAGCTCACTGGTATAACCCAAGTATGTATAATTGTTTATTTGTTAATTTTTAATTGTAAAACTTATTCATCTTAAGTCTGTATTTCAACTGTTATCTGTAATAAAGTTCTTTATTATTTTACTTGTTAATAAAATATAATGTTTAGAAACAAATTATTCTATTTTCCAGAAACAAATTGATACAGCTGATCCATTCCCAGTTTGCTTAAAGAGGTTTACAAACTGGTTGGAAAGTCACGAACTAGGCAGTAAACATAGGTTTTCAATTGTAGCCGATGGGCCTTTTGACATGGCTCGATTCCTTTATGGACAATGTATTGTAAGTCATTATCTCATGTATAGCTGAGTATCTCTTGTTAAAAAATTGTATTAATAATACTAAATTGTTGTTGTTGTTGTCAAGTTTAAACCCTAATTTTAGTGTAATCGTTTTAGATGTCCGAAATTCCATATCCGAGCTTTGCTAATAAATGGGTGAATATTAGAAAAATATTCAGATCGTTTTATTTCACAAAGCAATCCAAAGTAACTAACTTGAGGTTTTCATTATTTGAAAGTACATTTTCAATAATAGTAAAAAGTTATTAATTTTTTTGTTTGTTTTTTAAGCATTCATTTTTATGTAATCTCAACGGAATGTTAACATTTTTGGACATGGAGTTTGAAGGTAACCCTCACAGTGGATTGGATGACTCTTATAATATAGCGAGAATATGTTTGCGATTACTCAATGACGGAGCTTTTATTGATCAAAACGAAAGAATAATTTCATTAAAAAGCCCTACTCCATTTGGGAAAGACGTATGTATTTGAAAATCCAAATTCATAATATTATACTGAATTTTACTGCAAATTTGTTATAGTTTGTTTTCAGTGTAATTTTTACCTAGTTACATTTTTTTTTTTTTTAGGATCCTCTACCGGTCAGACCCGTGCATAATATATTTTGTGATGGTGTTCATCATCAAACAAATAATTGGCAATTAAACACAAAAATGATGAATTTGCAACTACGTGATAAAATTTAGCACTAACATAATTTGATTTAAAGTTGTCGTTTCGATGTTCCTTTATATATTGTTCTTTTTAATATTCATTAAAAGATAACTTTATAATTTTTTTTGAAAAAAAAGTTGTATAAGTAAGATCTTTTAAACTACCATGTCAAACATTGTGATCACGAGCTTTATATATATTATATACATATATATATATATATTTTTTTTTATTAGTAAATAAAATTATAACAAAAATACTTTTTTGTTAAAATCACACCGAGCTTTTAGCTTGATTTGATGTTGTATTTTGTAATTGTTACCTTTAATTGTTATTAGTACTTATTTACATTATTATCGAGAAAGCTGTTTGACTAAGTACAATGTGCCTACAATAAAAATGTGTGTAAATACTAGAGTAAAGATTTTATAATTAAAAAATTTAATAAAATATAAACTATAAATCAAATAATTTCACTTGTACAAATTAGTATTATTATCAAAATATATCAATAACAATGTATCTATATTATTTATTGGCAACTAATATTGTTATTAAGTTTATATTTATTAAATCTGTGATTTACAAAGAAAGACTTCTTATACAACGCTTGACCTCTTATTTTCAAAAATTCTGATTCTTATGGTGATAAAAAGCTTTTAAATACTAAAAATTGTATTTAAGTAATGCTAATGTAGTAAGTTACTCCTTTCTTTTTCCTTTAAAAAAAAAAAATTGTCAACTCTGATTATTAGGTGTTATCTCCTATGGTAATTTGTGATAACCAAAATGTCTATAACACATTATATTTAACACACTATACTCTTAAGCTAACCCAAAGTAAGCAAATTATTAATTTTTTGTAATAAAATGTTTGACGAATGGGTACAATATTTATACTGAAGCACTGATGTTATATTTCATAATAATAATATTATCAAAATATGTATTAATAATTGAACTTCATCTTCTAAGAATGTTTTCGTATTTTAAAGATTTGCAAAGATAAACTAAGGCACAATTCGAGGTGCTCAAAAGTGCTTGACACATGAAAATTGGAAAATTAGTACCATACGTTGGCGTTTCATACGACGATAGTTAGGAAAATAGCTGATTTTAAACTTAAGCAAATTTTATTAAATTGTTATTTGATACACATTTTTGTGTAACAGTATTAAATAATTTTAAAAAAGTTAGGTACTTAAAATAATTACTTATTTAGAACTTCAAATAATATTTTATTTACATATCTTTGTCTGTCAATTTCAATTAATAAACCTGTTATTTTATATATATTTATTTTATTTTATTGTTTAAACTTATTTTGATTATTTCCATTTCTGTTTAAAAAAACAATTATTTAGAGTTAAAAGTTGAGTATGTATCTATAAAAGGTTTTAATAGTAATTCAAATTCGGTTAAGTAAAAATGCATTTGAAATTTTAATAATTATTAATTTGGATATTTGTTCAAATATAATTCGTATTATTTGTGTTTTTAATATTAGAATAAGAACTCTTTGGTCAACACATTTTTTTTCTCTTTGGTATATAAATATATTTTTTTGTTATGTTGGCTATTATGTTAACCGCCGGCATCGTGGCGTTTTGTGATACGTGTTATCTTGTCGGTCACTTAAAATTGTAGGGATTTGTTTGGTTTCAAAATCTTGTTTCTCAGTGTTCTGAAATCTAAAATTTCCAATCTACAAAGGCCAGTACGACAGTTTACGTCAATATATATATTTTTAGCAGGCCTTAATTCTACTTAGTCGAAAATTAGTTTCTATTTAAAAAAATATGTTGTTAAAACATTACGCTTGTGCAATATTTACATTAACGTTAGTAGCGTTTATCAATGCGTCCAAAGAGACATTGGTGTTGTTGAACAGTTTGGTGATCAAAGAAACACATTCCATATTTTTCAGTAGCCTTAAAGGTAAGAATCGGAAAGTAACTCGATATTCAATGTATTAACATTAAATAAGCTTGTATAAAAAAGGCAGAATTTAGTATCGATTGTTTAAAATATTTTTCATATTATTTATTAATAAAATAGTTTAAACGAAATAAAATATGCAATTTCAAAATCATGGACTTTATTTTATTTCCCCTTAAGAGGGTTTTGAATATGCATTACTTATGGATACCCATTTTTTCTTCAGAATACAGTTTTTGAATTATGACAAAGTACCATGGTTTAATTAATAATATATGTTGTTCAGGTTTACTTTATATAGTACTATGATTTGTTTATTGCTAAATAATACTATTTTTTTACACTGATTTATAGCAATTTGAACTTAAGAATAATGTTAGTGTAAATCTAACGCCAGCTGCAGTAGCGCATATTACCAGTCATAGCTTAACAAGCATTTTATTATCGTAATCAATGTTGTGTTGTGAAAAGCACTATAATTTGGCAACTAAAAATAATATAATAAATTAAAGTAATAAATAAAATCGAATTGCCTTTTTTTTTAAACATATTTTTAGTGCTTAAAAATATGTACCTACTGAAAAAATTGAACTATACAATTTTTTTTTAACTCAATAATAAAAAAATTAGGGACTTCCTAATAAATAAGACTCTTGGTACAATAAAATACAAATATTAATAATATTGTTGTAATTTTTTTATTTCTAACAGATAGAGGATATCACCTTACATTTAAATCAGCCGATGATCCTTCTCTAGTGCTTTCAAAACACGGAAAATATTTCTATGAAAATTTAATCATATTTGCGCCGAACGTACAAGAATTTGGTGGAGCTCTTGGTATTGATGTGATCACTGAGTTCATTGATAATGGAGGTAAATAAGGAGTTTCTTATAAGTTTCCATCTATTTTGAAAACAAGAATTTTTCTAAACCCTTGATTTTGGAAAATTTTCAATTTTTTTTAGGAAATGTGTTGTTTACGGGTGGAGTGTCGACTGGATCAGCACTCAGGGAATTGGCCGCCGAATGTGGTTTTGAAGTTACTGAGGAAAACTCATCATTAATTGACCATTTGAATTATGACGCCAGCGATCCTGGAAAAGTAAGCTTTCTTAATAATGTTGAACATGAAAAATATATTAATTTTTGTAACACACTTTTTCTAGTAAATATTTTATATCAGATCAAATTCTTCTGTATAAAATGCCATTAATATGATGATTCTTAGTAAATAACCCCAAATAGCTAAAAAAATGTGTGAACAATTGATGTAAAATGTTACAATTGTTATGTATTAGATTACAAATAAAAAAGTTTTTAGAAACAAATTAACATTTTTTAGATAATAAGAACTAATTTTTTTTTATAATCTTTTTCAAACTATATAATTTATGATTTTTTATAATAGTTTTCCAATTTTAACAATTATCTACATACAATATTTTTTTAATTTTAAAAATATTTAACAAATAATGTTTCTTTGCAAATTAGAACGTAATACATTTTTATAATTTTAAGTTTAATTTTTTTATTCTATATATTTTTTTTCTACTTCAGTATTTAATATTTATGTATTATTTTTTTTTGTATTTTTAAAGCACACAAGAGTAGTTATTAGTTCTTCAAATCTTATCGAGTCAGAAGAAATTGTTGGAACTAAAAATGCAAAACCTTTGCTGTACGAAGGTACAACTGTGATTGCCGACTCGCGGAATCCTCTCGTACTTCCAATTTTGCATGCCGAAGATACCGCATATTCTTATAAACCAGACGCTACCATTAAGGATGTAAGTAATTGCAATTTTCTAAAACAACAATGCTTGTTATGTAACTAATAAATAAACAAACTAATTTGTGCCTAGTATACACTCGGAACTGGTAAAGACCTTCTGCTCATAGCGGCTCTTCAAGCCAGAAATAACGCTAGGGTTGTGTTCTCCGGATCATTGTATTTTTTTTCAGACGCTGCTTTCAAGTCGTCTGTTCAACGAGTAACTGTAAGTATTCTATTTTCAACTTAAATATATCGTAAAAGTGACTTTCAATTTTGGGTTAATCTTATAATTCCATTTTATCAGGATGGGAAAGTGGATGACGTCTCAGGTAACCAACAAGTCGCCACCAATATCGCTTTATGGGCATTGAAAGACAGAGGTGTGATTCGAGTAAAATCAGTTTCTCACCACAAGATCGGTGAGACATCACCTCCACCGTCGTACACTATTATGGACATGGCCGTAAGTATTTTATGTCAGCCAAGTAAAAGAAAATAGTGGGGAAAAACCAAACTAACAAATTTTGTTATTTTAAATGCTGAGTTAGAGTATCTACTAAAAGTCGTTATAGATAGGGCAGGTTCAATTTTTTTAAAATATAAAAGTTTTTATCATATTGTATTGAAAATTAGTAAACCGAAATTATTTTATGATATTGTAATTATTTACTCGGTGAGAACATTTTTACACTACAAATTGTAATATTTATTAGTTATTATTTATCATAAGTTTAATCACACAAAATAATGTCAAAAATGTTTATATGCAAGTAAAAATGTTTACACAAAGTAAATAGTAGGTTTTTTGTTATGATAAAAGTTACATTAATGAGACTATTGATTTTGTTTGTTTACTTTTTTTGCTATTTGCTCAATCATAGTTTCTATTTTTTGTGGCCTATGAGGTCTTTAAGTTTAAAAAAAATTGTATGACCAACTATATTCAATAAATATTTATGTATATTATTATATATTTATAATACTTCACAGGTGTATTTACTTGAATTGGAACGATGGGAAAACGGCAAATGGGTTCCGCACAATGCCAACGACGTACAAGTTGAATTTGTGCGCATCGATCCATTCTGGCGTGGAAACCTCAAGAGTGTGGGATCTGGCAAGTACGAGTTTACGTTCAAAATACCGGACACTTATGGAGTGTATCAATTCAAAATTGATTACAACAGAGTTGGATTTACGGCTCTGAGGAGCTCAACTATGGTAAAAATTAATTTTAATATTTTTCGAACGGTGGCTATAATAACGAATGTTGTTTATTTAAATTATAGGTGTCCGTCATACCGTTAGAGCATACCCAGTACGAGAGATTTATCTTGAGTGCGTATCCGTATTACGCGAGTGCTTTTTCAATGATGTTTGGCGTATTTTTGTTCAGTTTTGTGTTCCTGCATTATCGCGAAGACAATGATAAGATTAAAGGAGAGTAACTCAGACTGTTAGTTACGACGATAAGATTTGTGTAAGACATGCACAGTAATAATAATAAATAAATAAAATATGTGAATGGCAGTTCTGAATAAAACAAATTTTGTATACATACCATTTAATTGTTTTACCATGACCTCACACAAAATAATTATTGGATCAAATTGTTTTTTCTTGGAAAAATATTATGCATTTTGTATTCTTTCATAAATTATTATTATTTTTGTATATTTTGTAGTTTAAGCGACAACATTGATTGTGCACAATATTGAAATTCACAATTTATATTTATATATATATTATTGGCACACGAGTATATAATACAATGAAAATAATATTAATGTATTAAACATTTAAATGGTGATGTATTATTTTAATAACGCCTTATTAAATGAACTCTTTTGTTGTCTGATTGCGAGTCATCGTTTCTTTCAAACGAACCTTTCCTTGTATTGTTCATTTGTGATGTGGCGTTACCTGCCGACTTCTTCCTGCGAACTAAAATCCTATTTTAAATATTTATATAAGTTAACAATTTATAAATGCATTTTAAACACGGTAATCCTTATTGAAGATACTTACGTATTGGAGATCTCATACGCTGCCGACCCGATTCTCGTCTAGCGTGTTTGGCCAAAGTCAAGTCGGGCAACGTCAGACGTCTATTTTTCGGGTTTAGTGGTTTACATTCTACGTCACACATTTTTTGCCACGAAGAATTCTAAAATTTCAATAAACCAAATGAACACACTACACCGTTATGTAACACATTGTTCAGGGACGGACGGAGTTCACTTACATTCTTGCAGATGCTACTCTCGATTTTAAAAAATATGAACAACGGCAGTAAAGTCGACAACAGTATTATCCACCAGTAGTCTTCCAGCCTGTACTGTTCGAGTTCATCCGGTGAGGCGATCTCATCGGTAGCCGGTCCATGGGCATCCGGTGTCAACAACGGTTGACCACTGTCGGAGGTGTCAGTGCTTGGTTCTTGTTGGTTCTGACTTTGGTAACTGGTACAGCACACCATAAGACCGCACACGTATAAAATTAAAACGTACTTGTAACTCGGATGCATTTTTGGCGACGACTTCGGAAAACACCGTCCCGGTGTATTTACACAAGTTTGTGTGGTTTTTGTTTACAGTGAATCAAAAAACAACCAACTGAGTAATTGCAATGAATATATTTTTTGAGTTGTTTGTGTAGTGTTTTTTTTTCTAATTATAATTTTCTGTTGGTTTAATAACGGCAAACAACTTGTTTTTTACTACCCGGACACGGTGGAATGACAAAAAACAAAAAAAAAACACCAAAGCTGATGTGCCGAGCGGTGCACGCCAGTATTGATTTTTTGTTCATGTGCTTCCGAGAAGTATACAACCCTATGGTTGATGAAAATCCACCCGCTTCTACAGTATGACAAACTTGACATCCGTTTCTAACAAAGTGCCTATCGAATTTAATAGGCGTTCGTTCGACTGCAAGATGATTTTTAAGGAGAGAGAACATATTTTTAATTCGTTAAAAAATCCACAAACAATTTTGAGGTTGTTTTCATAAATTAATAAACGAATTTAATGGTTTACTTATGACTGTTATACAAAGGACATTCTCGAGGAACTACAGTATAGTTTACACGTTTTTTTTCACAACCAGGTAAACATTTATTTGAACTACCTACCTATTATAATAATAATAAGACGGATTAAAAGAACGATGATTTTTTTTTTTTTATGTAAAAAAACAACTGTACAACGCTTGTACGATTCGATTGACTTCATTGTCAATAAGATAGCTGTTTTAATTTCTATTTACACTAAGAATCGATATGGAAACCAATCGAATTAACTCTGTGCATAGAATTTACATAACAATAATTATACATAGGCCTATTTGCTAACGTTGTACATGTAATCATCAAAACACATTCAATTCGCTGAATTATTATGGGTACCGTCCAATTTAATGTTGCTTGTGCTAATTTCAAAACGGGCCAATACGTGTTTGACCTTAGAGCTTAATTAGAGAAAATTGCGTACCTACAACAATACCCGGCTGTACCTGATGGTCCGTTAAACTCGGTAAGTATAGGTACCCCGACACGCTTGCCTTGCCAGCCATAATGAAAATCCAACGACGTTGAATACCTTAACGTCGGTAGGTATTATAACCATTACTATTATCTTGTGATGTGATACATTTATATTATACCTCGGTTCACAGCACAAATGTCATTACACAATAATCAGTTTTTTCGGTTTTTTTTCTTCAAATAAATGTTGACTTAATGGATTATCGAAAAGGATGTAGGTCAAGCGCAGCAAGATTATATTTTGACCAGTATAATATTATAATGTTGTTGGTACTATTGCTGTGAATATTTTATAGTAAAAATAATTAGGGGATTAAATGACTCGGATGCGGGCATAAAGTTTGCGACCTAGACCGCCAACTATTGTACGTTTCTGGAAATAATTATTAGGGATAGAATAAATTATGCAAAAAGCGAGAAAAAAAAATTATTAAAATGTATTACCGGCGCATAAAAAAACAAGAATAGTACGGTAATAGTACATAACTTTTATTTTTAATCAGGCGATTTCGCGTTAGACGAGTGTAGCTAAATTAACCCTTTTTAAGTCATCCCAAGTGACGGATTTCATCGCACAACCCTTTAGGCCGGTCGAAATAACCCCGAGGAGTTGCTGTACACCGTGATGACTTTATTATTCTGTTTCAAAACAAGCGAATAGATATTTAATTAAAAACGAAGTAAAAAACAAAAAAAAAACATAATTATTATGAAAAAAAATATTTAAAATGGTACCATACTTTTTTGAACATTGATGTTGAGTTTATAGTATACCTAAGTTTATAATTTGTTTTTGGACACTGATCACTTTAAGTACTTACTCTCAAGAGATGTTTACAAAGCTAGAAAATAACTTTGGTTAACTTTGAGCAATTTTTTTAGTCTACATTATTGATATCTAGTGAAAAACATTTAAATTTAAATATTAGCCGTTTCTAGAAAATTATTTTTTAACTTCGACGGGGAGCTAAAAAATTGTATAATTATTTGAGTATGTTTTGTTGAATTTCAGTTTATTTTCAAAGTAAAAAAAAAACCCCCATTACATTTGTTTGTATTCGATTGTATTGCCGTAAGAAAGAACACATATCGAAGACGGATATTTTATTTTTTATCAAGTATCCAATCGCGTTTTGTGTGGTTCAACTACTGGCGATTTTAATCATACTAAAATTTTGTATACATAGCTTATGCGGTACCTCCAAACGGTTATTATTTTACGGCATTTACCCTCTTGCAGGTTTAACGGTAATCTCGAAAAAGGTCCTTCTATCTTTCATAAATAAAATTCTCTATAATATTATGAAGATATAATATTATTATAGGTTGGTAGGTAACTCTATATGATATTATGCTTACTCACAGGTATCGCTATTGGAACTTCGCGGTTATTTCTTCATATTTGATTGATCATATATTTTCTATAACTTTTACTGAGTATATTACTTTTTCCTTTTTTGTCGGATTTGTGAGCCCGTAGATTTGTCCTAGTTATCATTTTTTATTTATTCGTTTGTATAAGTAAAAATCTCTAGTGCAGGGTTATCGGATGGACTGGTATATAATAGCTTTATTTTACAGTATTCCACACACCAAATATGCACCATTTTATTTTGTTATTTAGATTTTTTTTTACACTTATTTTCCAAAAGTTTCTCTACAAATTTATCTCAAATTGCATTTATTTTCTTTAAAAGAAATATCGTAGAAAACGAATAACTGTCATCCATACGAACAGAGTAAAAAAAAATGTATTTTACAAAAAAAAATATTGTTATATTACATTTTTTTTAAAACTATTTTGAATTACATGTGTATCATGATATACCTACTGATAATTTACCACTTTATACTTTTTTAGACGTAGTTACAGCATAAATTGAAATTTTAGAAAAAAAATTATATTACAAACTAAATTGTAATCACTATTGGCTGTAAAGTGAGTGTCTTTCATAAGAAAATGTGTCACTTACCTGTGCCTTTCATCTTCTTATAACATTATTTATTATTTTATAAAAAAAAAAATTGTTTGTCATTACAAAAATAAAAATGCATTTTGAAGTAGATAAATGAAATGTTTGCTAATTTTAAGCAATTATCACGTGTCTATGGTGTTATAGACGCAGATGGTGTTATATAGCGCAATGATATAGTTTCTCTTAGGTGCAATTTTTTACGTTCAATGTATGCAATGTGGGAGAAAAAAATATATACTCGACCTATTTTATTGGTATTTGGACGAAACTAGGGCGAATCAAACCCATTCACGGTCCATTGCACAGCAAAATGAGACAGGTACGGCGGGCAGGTAAAGGAGTGCGTCTTATTATTATTCTTGCAGAGTGTGCCAAATAAGGGTTTACAGAAAATTCAAAATTGGTTTTCCGTAGAAATACTGGTAGTTCTACGAATTACTACAACCAAATGAACTCTAAAGTGTTGTGAAATTTTGGTTTACCCAAATGTTGAACAACCTCGAAGAACTTTCTGACATTGTGATGGATAATGCTTCATATCATTCGACTCTCGTAGATAATTTTCTTAAAAGCAATATCAGAAAATCAAATTTTCAAGATTGGCTGAGCAAAAATAAAAATTTTTTATTTTTTATCTTTAGAGACCATTGGCATTAGAAATAGGTCATGAAGTATCATTGTCGGTAAAACCCAATCGAGTTATATGGGTTCAAGTTAAAAATCGGTTAGCCACAAAAAATGAATACATTTATTTATTTAATTTTTTTTATAATATAACAAATTATGTATTGATTATTTTGTTTTAAATGTTCGTGTTTTGTTTTTAGGGTTTTATTTCAGTATTTTTTTTATATGTATGTATAAATTACAGTTATTAAGCAGTTATTATAAGGAAAATGATTTTATTTTTACACACGTTTATTTTAACTAGTTTGATTAATGTGGTGTTTTTTTTCTGTTTTTCGACTTTTCTATGAATAAATTCCTATTAAGACATTAAGTACATACCTTCCATATAGGTTTTTAGCGATAAATTTGGAATCATAGCATTCGAATAGGTAGGTAGTCAATTCGCGGTAGCTCAGTGTCGATTCCGGTCGGTCGTGTAAAGGACGTGCGATGACCAAAACGACGGCGGTGAATGATATGGGTTATCCCACGGGACCAACGCCCAGTGATTAATCTGGAAATTTTCACCGCTATAAAGTAATGGATTCTACCATACATATACATATTTATAGTATCATACTGTCGTCTGCTACTGGTCCACTAGCTCTGATACGACCAGCTCTCTTTGCCCTTCAATTAACACTTTTTGCCCGTCACAAACCACTCGAACACACAAGAGGATCAACGGTTATCGGTCATTTTGCTTCTCAAATCGATCGCAGTACTTCTAAACTGTTTGTAAGACCTCGTCAGAGGTATTTTCGTCCGAGGTAACCTAACCTAACCCAACCTAACCTGCCGTGCCTCAGAACAACATATTATACTACAGTGTTCAAATAGCTCTCTCATTTCTTCGTTCGATTTTCCTGCGATGGCGCCACTCTCAAACTTCCTCTCATATACTCGTTCCTTCATCCTGTTCCACATGGTGCCCCATCCTTCCATCTCATTATAGAATTACCGTTTAAAAACCATTTTCATAAGATTTTCTTCTTACTTTTACTGGCATAGGTCACGGAACAATCCGATGTTGTTATTAATTATACCATGAATTTGTAGTTTGGTTTGGGGTAACTAAAGCATATGAACATTCAATAGGTATAAAGAAATTACAACATATGTTTTAAATAATTGTTTTCAAATAACAATATTTATAAATTATAAGAGCAATTCATTGCTCTAAATTGTTTAGGGACGAGCGTAGTAATACTAAACATTAAGACGAATGCCATTGCAGGTTTTTAATAAAAATAATAAGTAGTTTAAACATGTTAATCGTTATCAGATGATATTAATTCAAAAATTTTAGAAAATGCACATAAAAATGAAAATGAAAATGGAACTCCTACTTTTTAATGATAAATATGAACACGTCAATGATGGACTGGAAGATCAAATGTATACTCAACTTAAGCATAATTATTTAAGCTGTATATTATATTAATTGTATTTGAATTGTACGCGTTAAGTCATTAAGAGTATTTTTATTAATCTGTTCGAATTTTTTAATGAAACTCGACACCATTATTAGGGTATTATTAGGATTAACTGTCAGATTTAAATTACATAAACTATACTATCAACGCACGTCACACGCGCTCTTTCACATTTTGTAATAAGATATCCACTTTGATGGCGTTCTAGTATAATGAGTAAACCGACCTTGGCAGAGCAGTGGTAAGGATCTATCTGTCAAGTAAAATGAACCTTTATGCCTAAGAATCACATAATATATTCAAGAGACGAAACTAAAATAAAAAAAACAATGTAGGTATACTACACGACCCTTATTCGTTTGAGTCGGAAACACGGTAAGATAATATTGTATTTAGTGTCCATTGTTTGTCTAGAACACATTTTAATCAACTCTCAAGTGTTATAGCCGTGCACCCGAAACAGTAAAATTTAAATTAATTCCGTTACCGAGAAGACTTAGAACAAACATTAGCATCCATCGTTCAATAAAATATTTACCCTAGTCGAGTACTCAATAAAACTAACATTATAGTATCATTTATCAATATAATATTTAGGTACAGAAGAGCTACAACTGCACATAGATTTTAAGACCAATACTATCCTTTCTCTAGAGTCGAACCAAACAATATAATACTTAAATACCGGTCACATGCCAAAAAGCCTTTGGAGGGTAAAATTTCAATACAAAAATCCAAGATCTAATAATCGATAATAGTCGAAGTAATAGGTAAGAACACAGTAAGTGATGGCCAATTTTTATTTAAATTGTAAGCTAAAATATGTTGATTTGATAAAAGTAACGAATTAAATGATCTACAATAATAAAAACATTTTTAATCGTGAGTAAATTTTCTTTTTTATGAAGAAAAAAGGCAATAACTTTTCCCAATAATAAGATATTATTCATAAATAGAAATAAATTTTAGTCTTTTTAACTGTTAATTAGGACGTGCTATTTTTTACTTATTAATTAATTATGGAGAAATAGTTTATTTAATCACGATTAAAAAAATTACTCTCTTAAACACACCAAGCTAAAAAAAATATTTTTTTATCTACTTAAATGTCAATATATATGTCTCAAGTCAGAATAGGGTATTATTCGAATAATTTTGTATATATATATATATATATACATAAAGCGAGGGATAAATAAAAAGAACTATCTTTTTTCAAATAAATTATTCAATTTATATGACAAAATTATTTGTTATTTATGAATTTATTTATTAATTACTGTTTATGCCGCTTTAATCTAATATAACAGCTATTTAAAAAAAAAATAAATCGAACAAAATATAGATGTCTTTATTTATTTATATTTTATGTTAGATGTAAACTGTTTCATACTTACTCAATATTAATTGGGTTTGCATAATATTTTGTCTAGTCCCTATTCTATTAAAATAAACTAATGTAATAAAAAATACATACAAAATTAAATTATGTAAATAATTTTAATTTTTTATTTGGATTTAACGACAACGACAATATCATACATCAATATTATACTAATACAATTATTATATTTTAATGACAATTAAAAAAAAACATTCGGTTTTTGTGTAGGTATGTATAGTATAATACTTTAAGTGTTTTAGTAGCTATTTACTGACAATACTAATTAACAAAAAAAAAAAAAAAACAATAAGTAACAAAATACAAATATAACAAAAAAAAACTTACACGCATTATACAATATTTCCTCGTTTTCTGTTCAATCGTTAAAATATCCAAACTGATTTGGCTATCGATCAGGAACTATTTTTTTAAATTAATTTTTATTCTTAATTCGTTCGTAAAACTTTGGAATACACAATAACGGGTCCCTGAAAAATAAGAATGACAGCAAACACGTTTACAAAGGGTACAAATATTAATATTAACAAGTCTGCAATGTACAATAATAACATATTTTAATAACAATTTTTACCATTCGATTAAAAAAAAGCTTTATAAGTTGTATGCACATGAAAAATCATAAAACAGAATATGTTTTTGTGTTTAAGAAAATCTGCCCTTTCTTAATTATGAATACGATTCTTTCAAAATAAAAATAAAAACACAGCGCTGACTTTTTAGTTTAAACTACTTTTTGTTTTAATACTAATAATCACTTTTGATATAGTTATAGTAAAAATTGTTCCTATCAATACATTTATCTCAAAGCGTATATAACATACATATATACAATTTCATCTATACTTATGTTATATTTATAGGAATACGATTGCAATAATGCGTATCATTTAGTTTCAAGCATGTACAAAGTTTTTTTTTGTTGAAATGTGATCATAACACAAATTAAATACAGTACACAAAATTATGTACTAGTGTATTAGTTTCTGTTTTAACCAACACACCGCCTGATATTTAAAAACTGAATAGATTAACCCTTATCATCTAATCTTCACTTGCAGATGAATGCTTCCTTATAAGGGAAGATTTGTCGATAATAGAGAATTAGCAGACGAGGGATAGAAAAATGAGAGTAGAAACAAGAGGGAGTGCACAAGGGGATTCATAGCAAACATATTATATTCTATGAATTAAATTATATAGATCTTATTATGCGCTATTACCAATGCTATTTTGTATTCAATTATTTATTTAATTAGTCAAAAAGTGTGTTCTGTAAAATAATCATTTCTTATTATATATTTTAAAAATGCGTTTTATCGATTTTTTTATAATATTTATAATAACAACAATGAGTAATAATATGATGATATATAAAAGTTGTATTTAAACATTTTTTTTTTCATAAATTTATTATTTATTTGAATATAAAACTTCCTAATTTAAGTACTAAAACTAACAACTTCCACGTTTGCCGCGTTTGAAATGAGTTTAAAATAGACAAAAAACAAGATTTAAATTTGAAATGCTTAGAAATAGGCGAAAATTTTTTTATAAATATTTACACACGAGTGTAGTAGGTACACGAATTACGAGCAAAGTGGGATTTGTGTTATTTGATTTTGGGTAACACTGTCTAAAGAAAATTGCCAACGGTAAAAATTTACAAATTTATAGCTCTGTCCAGTCATGAGCTGGGAATGACATTCACTATGAGTTAAAAAACAAAAATTATATTATATTATAGAGAATTATACATTTTTAAGTATCACGATTTTTATAATAATGTTATATTTGATTAAATACATCTACATCAGCTTAACATAGTTTAACGCTTTTTAAAGTCAGTTGATTAATTAATTTAAACTTAATAAATTAAAATAAAAATATGACGTATTAGTAACTGAATATTAAACGGACAGATAGAGCTGTATTTATAGATGTATGAAAGTTGTCGACGTTACCCGAAGGGGTATAATTTTGGCAATCTGTTTTAGCCCTTTACCGAATTTTCTCAAAAAATAGGCCTTGGCCAATGGATTGCCTATGTCTAAAATTCTTATCACCAACTTACGGGAAAATCTCAAAGCTGGGTTTTGTGATCAAAAGTACAAATATATATACAAAATAACATATTGACAATTATACGTTTTATAGAGTAAAGTATACAGACATTGGCACCTTAGGGAAATATACAGGTTTATACCAATAGATAATTACTTAACCTGTTAACACGGTAAGACATTTCTTACTAGCTTTTATCGATCAAAAATGATGTAATATTACGAATTTTGTCATCCAAATTTCATATGATTAAAATATACTTCTTTTTATAAAATATAATTATTAATAGAAAATCATCCTTGTTTATTTTCGTTATTAGGTTAGTCATGCGTGTTTTGAGAAAATTCCCAGCTATATTTTTTAAATTCAATTTAAATTTAAAATCAAATAGTTTTTGAATAAAAATTTTAATTAAAAAAAAAGGAGGTATAGACCATTTTTATATTGACCAAAATGTAAGTATAATATTGTTTAAAATGTTACTTAAATATTATTGTTTTTTTTAAATTTCGGTTGCCACAAATTTCCGATAAAGATAGAACACTAAACAGGTACCAAAATCAAATCATGTCAACACTTTTTTGGAAATCATCATTTTTAAGGATTAACACAAAACACAGATGTTTTTGTAGAAGAACATAGTTCTAAACAAAAGAGTTAAACACTTAAAATGCCATCATTTATACGTCTATATCAAGGATTATATCAATAATAAATAATTTGTTTAATCAAATTTTGTGCAATCAAAACCACGAATTGGTATATTTTGTATTTTTCTACTGGAATAATAGACGTGAAACCTGTTTGAATGATTTAGTATATTACCCGTGTAGTTCAAAACAACCAAACAGCAAAACACAGTGTTTCAATTGTTACCAAAGCATGCTTCGAGGTCGTGGATTGTGCTGGACAATACTATTAATTACTACTACCCACTCCACCCGCATACCTTTTGATTTAAATACTTACTTAATAATAAATAAATAAATAAGAACAAGAAGTCAAAAGCTTGGGCGGTATAATTCCAATACTTAACGCACTTATTTGGACGAGTATGTGCAAAATGTTCATTGTTGTACGGTGAGACAATATAACTAATAATATTATTATTATTATTATTAACATTTTATCTTAATGTCTATATTTTGATTTAAAAACGGTGTACGTTTTTCCGGTAAAGATCGACGGTCCGACGTCAACTGCTGCGAGGAAGATTTTTCCTATACTTTATCTTCGTTGTCACCCGGCCCTACGGTCGACCTCACGAACTGTAACAACACAGGTACATCATAAGTTCAACAAATTCTACACAAAATCAATTGACAACTTAACACTACTGTGTACAGTTTTCGGGCAAAGCCACGGGATAGTCTACTCGAATATTATAGTACACTACGGATTTTGCCAGCATTGATTTCGGGTAAATAGAAATTAAGGTAAGCTAAAAGTAAAGCTAAAACTTCAAACGGTAATACAATTTTGTATGTACATTGTAACTAGTCTGTTATTGCTTACTCGGTTGGCATTTGAGAAACAGAAATCGTGTATAGGCCAATAGTCGGAAAAGCGACAAGATAATTGTCCATAAACAAGTCAGAAATATTAGATATTTAATATAATATATATTTTTCAACTAAAATCTTTAATAACCACCAACAATATATATAATAGGTAACAATTTGAAAATAGTCGTTTTATAAGACACTACGAATATTTTCAAAGCCGTACTTAATATGTTTATGCTTTTTTACCTAAAGTAAAACAAGCCAATACCAAATACTAAATAATAATGTCTATGTAAAATAAAGTTAAAATGACACTATAACTAAAATATATTAAAAAAGAAAACTCGTGTATAAAATCTAAATAGCGTCTAATGGAAATGTAAATCGTATTGCAAGAACGCAATCTACTATTTGCATTGGTACACGACGATTCATGAATATATAATATACTTTAGTAGGTATGGCAATACACCGTATAATAGCATTGGTCGGTATCAATCAGAGAAACACTGTATCATGCATGTGAATACGATTTCAAAAGCTTCTACCAAAAATGACTCATGAATCACAAAAAAAAAAAAGCAAATTTAAATAAAACAAACAAACAACGTTTGAAGGAGATATGGAGATTTGGTTTGTTTATTTGCTTACCGTTTTTGATAACGAGTCGACAGTCAATAGACTCGTAGTTGGAAAATAATAAAACTAAATAAATCAATATTATATTTTGGCATAGGTATATAAGTGTTATTTTAAAAAAATGGATATTTTCCAAATCTTTTGACGTTTGATGTTCGACCGAAGTAACAAACAGGTCTAATTAACCGAACATTTATTGAATTTCTATTAAATATATTTATACGACAAATATGTATATAATATTGTAGGTTTAGGTATCACGTTTGATATTAATGGATAATAATCTCAACGAAATCCAAAATCCAGAAATGATTTAATCATACGTTTTGAATTTAGGTTAATAAATTTCTATTTGCAATAAACAGTAGGTTATTTATGCGTATATAATGTACAATATGTATAGTTGTTTGATACACAAAAACAGCAATCCAAACTCGACAGAATTTAAAACTGTCCTTGGGATTTTTAAAAAAGTTTATGAAAACTAGTATTTATTCATGAAAACAATTTCAACTTGTGCCTATACAAAAACCAACAACAAAGTAAATCTGATAATGAATTGCATCCGTCAAGTCAAACAAATCCGATCTTTTTTAATGTAACGCAAATGGAGTTAAATGGAGTTTGTGAAATATTAGACAATCTCCCAAAAATTAATTAATTTATCTATAACTACCATCCAATATTCTGTTATCACAGACAAACATGACAGCTGATGGATATTCTGAAGCCATTAGATTATGACATAACGTATGATTTGATTGACTTGTAAATTATTGATGAGAGATGAAAACGATTTCTTTTTAAAATATTTAGTTCTCAGATAAGACTTACTCTTATTAGCTAGCATGTGAAACTGTTGTCATTAAAATCTACTAGGGCTTGATATTATGCTATAACCTAACAGTTAAACACACGCTTGACTGTATACGAACATAATATATTTTTGTTGTTCGACTTTTAAATTCCAACTTCCGAAGCAAACATTTCATGGTCTAAAGCTTTTATAATAAATGTATAATATAATATAAATAATAGCTTTTATATATCAAATAAAAAAGTAATTTATTTTTCGTTCCATTCGATTGGCATTGCATTGGTCGGTACGTTTGTTTAACAAGATTAGGAAATATTATAGGAAAAAAATGAAAATCTGAAATCGTTCCTATTTCGATAGTACCGGGTATAGGTCAAGACGTAACTCAACCCGAAAAGCCGATTGGTATATTTTGCAGTAAAACTTTGTCGGAAATAAACTTATGTTCCCCGTCGATTTCTCGGTCTACGCACAATGTATATATTTGCAAAGTTTGAGGTGGTGGTCGAACAAATTTCATCGAAGAAGCCACAGAGAATGTCCGTGCATTGCATTCGGTTCGAGTGATGGTCACCAACTTCAAGTCTTTTGGTTAACGTTAAATTCATTGGGATTCCATGAATAAGAACTTTTACGGAACATACCAGATAATGGCAAAATCATATACGTGGATAGATTAAAGGGCACGATCTCACGCCATCTGGTACGTGCGAAATCTGAGACAGAAGGGGCGAAGTTGCTAACTTTTAACATTGATTTTACATTATAATATAATACATTAGTAATATATAATATAATCAATGCCATTATTGATATAATATACCTAATAACATCGGGTGAGATATTATTAAATTAAATTTACGACGTCCCATGCGCCGCCCCTTATCTTATGAATACCTTCTTTATACCATCTATATTATACATACTCATCTTATGAGTATACATAATAAATAATTACGATAATGTAATATAAATTATCTCGACACGCAGTGTAAGTCGAGCACCGGGTTACTTAAAAACTATTCATTTTTAATGACTTCACGGGATGACGAGTATTACCGCAAGACTTGATAATTAGGTATACTTAAGAAAAGAACGAAGGAACGTAGAATCGGTACCGACTCTTTGAAATTACACATAAGTCAAATAGAGCCAAAATAGCGAATTGTATAGCCTAAAGGAAAGGAATTAAGGTCTATAGGTAAAAGGCGAGACTTAAATAAATATATTTCAACAATTAAAACGGTACAATCGCCCTGAATATTCCTTCAAATTTTAAGTATAATATAATATGTAAAAAAACAATAAATTGAGTTAAGCTAAACAAGTCGAAGCTTGAATGTTTTTTTGTCTAAGTAAGGCTCCCACGCTTAAGTTGCCCATTTTTACTCATTTTATCGAAAATTCAATAGAATATTTGCAATAAAATATGAGATACATTTTACATCATGAAAATTTAACGATGCGGGGGAGTTAAATGACAGCTATATTGGTTCCACAGGGGATGAGTAGATTGTGATCGAAAACGACAGGAAGACACAATAAGACCTTACTGGATCGGTTAAGCTCTCAGAGTTGTGGGCGACGAGAAATGGATGGGCGATGACTGAAATAGAGAATTTTATCGAAAGATGCCACCGCTCATCAAGTTAGTTAGCAGTTACTAATTGACCATGATAATATTTCTTGAAGTATTCATTTTAACAATCTAAGTATACATCAGTTGACAGTTATATTTATTGCCAATACTTAATCTTAACCTTACCAAACGTCTTAAATTTGATCTTTTCGTCAAACATTATTTTATTCAATTCAACAAAATAAAAAAAACATTGTGCGAAAGCTGATAATAAAGCATTATGTATAACTGAGACTTTATGTTCAGTTATGAATTTTTAATTTCAAACTTAAGTTTCATAAGTCTTAACAGCTCATTGAGTTATAGAAATGCGAAGACATTAAAATGTCAATAAATATTGAATTTATATCGTATTATGATATGATTTTACTTGTTTTAAAGTTAATAGCATTAAACGAGTTTGGTTACAAAATATAAAACGTCAAGTGAGATATATTGAAAGCAATCGAGCAATCAAAAGTTTCTTTAATTAAATGTGCACAATCGTTAAAATATTAATTTATCTTTTCATCAGTTTCAATAATAACGTTTAAACAAATCGCCGGTCGAGATGGACGTTTCGTTATAAGTTATAACGAATAATAATTAATTAAAGACAGAAGTGGCCGTTTATTGCGTTTACAATCAATCGTGAATTGAAATGAAACGGACCGCTTAAAATAAGAAATGGGTTATCGGATTCTGCAACAGTTTCAAAATAGCCTATATCTTAACATATTCCGTGTTTTAGTAACTCATATACTTTTATAACCAATGTGTTGTTTCTTTGTATACTTTACAATGGATTTTGTGTACTTTAGAGGATTTAGCCGAACCAAGCCCATTCGTCTGTGACTATTTTGCTATTGGGGAATGTCCGGCACGTCCAAAAAACGTACGCCGTGACAAATTTTTGGACATTAGATATAATATCAGTGCAGTGTGGTAGTTTCGGATCGATTAGTGTTTTCGGCTCAAAAATCAATTATTACTATAATTAAACGTTAATCGACGGAGCCGAAGGATGACAGGAATGGCACGTGAATTATGTATCGACTATATATCTCGTCGTTCGATCTGCGTTGGCTCATTGTATACGGTTTTATTATCGACATACTTTGATGTTTTTTATTGTTGCTTTTGAATTGAAAACAATGTGAGTGTTACTTCATTTGTGTACTTCGTCGAAAACATTAAACGATTGATTACAATATAAACTATATTTTAATAAAATCAAATAGTGTTTTTTTATTGAAACGCTTTTTATACAGTGAAAATACTATTATAATTTCGTCGGACGCTATTTTAAATGAACCGACAGGAACTAATCATCATAACCCAACAGCGCGCTTAAAATATATACTCCGAGACCACAGATCAAATAGTGATACATTGTTATTTATAGTTTCAATTACGATTGTCGGGTACATAAACATTTATAATAACAATTTCATAACTCGTAATAATGATATAATAAATAATTCACGAAACTCTTTAAAATTAATTATTTACAATGACTCTTTGATATTAGAAAGTAATAGAAAATATAGCATCGATGATAGATACTATCGATTAAGACCGCGGTACTTGGAAAACAACGAAGTTATGTAAATGTTTTTAGTGATTGTTTATGAAGCTACCGGAAGTCAAGTGACGTTTCCGAATAATATTTTTGTAATCGAAATTACTACGTGCCTCAAAAGCGGCGATTAAAGAAAATATTTCCAATTTTTAGCTTAAACATTTGTTTATTATTTAGCTTTTCATATGTTATGGGTAAGCATATATCATGAAAACAATACATTTTAAATGCGTCTAATCGAATACAGGTGAATCGATAATATTATTGTGCGTTGAAACGGTTTCTTTCTAATATTATACACTTGCTGAATTTCAATGAGACTGGCAAAGCAGATACTTTTTTAAATATGTTAATTGGTTTTTTTATGGTTTTGAAATGAGTATTGCGTGCTTGAAATCATATTTTTTCATTAATCATCGTTTTCAAAAGTTAACCTCAACTTGAGCATATATTACATTGATTGGAAGTTACATATTATAATGATTTGTTTACAGCAAAAGTACACGTTTGATCGAAAAATAGTTCAATGAGGCACATTTGACATTGTTAAAAGCTGTTCGCACTTTATAACACACATGATAAATGGACATTAAGTCAAATAGAAATTTCGAAACATATTATTTACTCTAGGGCACGGTTGTCGGTTGAACCGGGAAAAAAGGCTAAAGCACGCGATCAATTGGTATAATCCTAAAACGGACGGAAAACATATAAAAATATGTATACACTACATCTATTGTACTTTGTAATGTCCGGAAGTTATGGTTTTTTTATGCCATCACGCAAGCAAAAATAAAAATACTGATGTATATTATGTTTCCTAGTATTAGTAAACCGAAAGGAGAGCATTTGCCTACATTCTGTCTCGCGAGAGAACGATACTGCGCAGAAACCAAAACGCGTCACTCTTGTCTGCGCATGTGTATACCAGAGTAATACGTTTTGGTTTCTGCGCAGTACCGTTCTCTCGTGGAACAGAATTGTAGACACCCATTCGCAACGTTGCGAGGATATCGTTTACAATTTGTATTTTTATATTAAACACTCGAGTGTGTTAAAACCCATTGTTGTTTCCTCGGGAGGAAACGGCAAGGAAGGATCACGGGCTACGTGCAAACGTGCAAATAGTGAAACAGTTGGCTAACCTGACGTACCGAGACCGTTGTCGCCGTGTAAGAGTTGGCCCTGGTCCGGAAAAACATGAACTGCCAACGCCGCTTGATCTGAGCAATCACCTGTTACAATAAAAACAAGAATGTGAGTTTTGACACAGACAAGTACTGACCGCATACAGGCAAAATGTATTACGTTTTGAAATTAAAAACATGATTTTCTCAGAATGTTAAACAATTTACATTGATCTTTTTTCCCGCTGCCCTTCAACTCGCGCACCTTTTCAGCTATCGCATCGAAGGTAAAATAAATTTAGGAAAAATATAAAAAAAATTAGCTCATTTTAAATGACAATAATTACACCGTCAATAGGAAGGATTTCGAGTTAAGGATATAAACTAAATCTGACGTTTTCAATTTTTCATCTCAAGCCATTCACGAGATATGTATGGATTTTTATAAATATAGCTAATATTTTTTTCGAAAACGTAAACAGCAAACTTAAGTAAAAAAAATAAGAATAGAGAGGTCGACTTGTTATTTGTATTGTTAAGTACTTTTGGTAATATTAAACCATACATATTATTTATTTAATATGGAAATAATATTGCTTTATAACAACAAATTTCATTGTGTTAACTTAATGTATTGAAAAAAATATATGGAATTGTTTGCTCACAGTCAGATTTGTCAAGTTGTCAACAGTCTTCTTCCTTGTCGAATTTTGATATTTCTTTTCAAAAAATTTAAGAAAAATACTTAATAATACAAATAACATGTTGACCTACTTTTAAAAATGTTTGCTCAAATTTAGCAGTATATGTATGTACTTGAAAAAAATATTACCCGGGAGCTATACTTTTCAATGTCCATATCTTGTGAGAAGGCTGAAATAAACATTTTTGAAAAACAAATTCTATGATGCTACCACAGAATACATTAATCTATTCTATGATGCTGCTTTAGTTGTAAAAAATAGAATATGTTTTATGGAAGAAATCTTGAGCAAGTATGAACGACAGAATAAAACTGTGGTTATGCAATTTAATCTATTCTGTGTATCAGTCACCATTATTTTAAAAATGTCTTATTAACATTTTCCCTCTGATGTCAGCAATTATCTTCTCGTATCAATCATCATTCTTACCACTATAGTTTATAATATTATTTCTTGTCGGCTGATTTTACCTCATTATCATCTCGTACTTCCCCTGTAATCTAATTCTAAAATCCAAGCAGGCTTTTTTATTTGTACTAAGTTTAAAAAAATATATAAGAATAGAAAAAATGTAAAGGTTTAAATTGTGTAATATTGGGAGTGGAATATTTTATAAGCAATCATTACACAGAAAATAGTATCACGACACGAAAAAAAACTATTTGATGGGAAATGTATTTTATTTTATAATTCAGAGGCTTATATTATATTATACAAAACTAAATATATCCATAAGGCATATGGCCCTACACAGTAAGTACATTTTTTTTAATGCATTGGCTCTTATAAATTAAAACGAAATTAGGTTCACGTGTCAGCTATAACTTGAGTGGTTTAAAAGTTAATTATAATTAAGCTCGCGGTTTTGTCTGTTTATACACTAAAACAACTTTACGAGTAATAATAATTATATATATTATCATCCAATTAAAATTGTACGAAAGTATTATAAGCGCAAAAGACGAAAAGTTGTGTTTCTACACATATTTTGTAGGCGATAATTTTTTTGTTTCTAAAAAACTTAAATTACGTTATAAATAAATATATATAAACTACAACAGCAATAAGAACTGTATATTGTAAATATAGCATGATTTGTATTATTATGTCGGTGTACGTCAAATATTATGCGATATTTATTGAATTTTAGTAATGCAAAAACTTACCTCTCCGTTTAGAAAACAGAATAACGTTGCCACGCAAAGTCCCTGAATCAAACAGAAAAAAAAATAAAACATACTAAAATTATAGTAAATTATCGTATACTTATTATATATATATAATTATATAAATATAATAATTTTTTTATGTGGTTATTGATATGAGTTTTTTGTCTACTTTACAATATAGCATAACTCATAAGTCATTTCCTATATTTGAAGTGGATTAAAGCGGGTTAGGGTACCCTAGTAAGTTTACTTAAGGTAAAATAATATTATGAGAAAAGCGTGTGTGTAAAGACCAAATTATATATTCTAAGCACACGTTTTCTAGTATACTTGTTTGGTGTTTTTGTGTGGAATAAACTAACAATAAATAAGTGTTTTGTATTAATCACGGTGATATTACTTATGTGGTAAAGTTTTTTAAACGGCTTAAAGTTTTTTTCGGGGAGTTATTTCGTTGTAACGTGACAAACATACTTAGTAAGTACCTACCTAAACCGGATTAATGTTACAGTGGATTTGAATAATAATTCTCAGTATATCTACTTTGACATTTTTTTTACGGGTCCAGAAAATGACACGTTTTACATACATTTAAAACGTTTTGCAGTAAAAGAAAGAAAAACAAATTCTGTATTTTGGACGTATCGCGAACGTTTAGAGTATATTAAAATGTGTATCTAGTTTATAAGGCTGAAGAAAGCGCCAGAAAGTTCATTCGGATCACATACCTTTACAAAACTAATTTTATCATGTTAGTGTAAGTACTCATTACGGTTAAAAAAAAAGTGCAAACAATAATAAAGTCATGTGACTTTTAAACCAATTACACAAAAACTGTGTAAAACCAGACTAAATTTCTGTCGGAAATATAATCAAAATAGATGTGGTGTTTTCTGTTGCATAATCCTAATTGCAAACACTGAAGCGTTATCACAATATCTACACGTGTTTGCTTTCTTAAATTGATTAAGTTAATTAGAAATGTCTTCTCGTGACCACTATACCCACGTGGTTTCTACTCTCTACCCTACCCTTTAAGTAAGGCTGCGTTTGTAGTACATAATATAGTTGATGATATAACACATGTGTAGAGTGTATAATATTATTATAAATAATAGCTAAATAATTACATCAGTTGGGTAACCAGTAAATTATATAAGCCGCTCGCTTGTAACCAATTTAATATCCACCCTGTTCGTTTATCATTAGAGAGCCGTCCATATTTAATTGAAGATAACAATTGATATTATAAAAGTAAAAAACAGTATCGTATGCATATTTGTGCCCATCCACTGTTTTTTTTTCTAATATTACATTTAATAATTATTATATCTCAACGGACTGATAGTTATTTCGATTTGACAAGTTAATTACAATTTATCGACAAGTGATTTATGAAAAAAAAAATGTACACTAAGCCAATACAGTAATTAAGAGTATATACTAGAATTGAATACTAGGTATATATTTTTTAAATAATTTTAAACTGAGTAATTGTATTATTATTAGGATAATTACTAAGAGAGTCCTTCTCGAATCGATTTGTTAATATTTCATCATGAAAAATTTCAATTAACCATGCCGTTTGTTATGGAGAATTTATAATTAGCCATATGCATTGCATTGAAATCAATGTCTTTTTATGGAAATAAAGATGAGAATAAAATAGAATTGTATATAAGCTTAGCAAACTAATGAAAAGCAGTGGACTCGCAAAAAAAAAACAATAAACAATAATACAATATTATCTATCGCTAGTCTTTTTGAAGTCTGGCATTTGACGTTTATACGGAGAAAGTTTAATTAGAAAATAACTCAATCAACGTGGTCGATTACATTTTAAACTGACTCTTAAGTTTAATTAAACGTCGTGTAGTCATCTCTGGCGTTACTGCTATTAAGGTACATGTTATTTTCAAACCAATCTTGTAAACTAAAACTACACTATTATTAAGCAGCCAATATTATAGGGAAAAAATTATGATCTACTTTCTATTTTAATTTAGTAAAATATTTATATATTAAACTTAATGCTCTTCTTGCTTATATAATATGTACTAGGTATAATACGAGTATATACACCTGACAGATGTCAACTATTTTTGTGTGCACAAGACTCCCTCTTAAAAGTTATCCTATGGCCAAAATGTGTCACTTGTCCGCGTTACTTTAAGTATGTAATCATGACAGTTTGATGACGGTATCGAAAAATATATATGGCATAATAATACCAACTTCCTATGAAAATGTACATAGTAATAATAATAACGTATACTTCATCCATTTGTGTATATTTATGTTAAAAAGTGTTATATTTGAATTTCGAATATTATTTTTTGACATCAAATAAAGCGAGATTAAGTTTCTCTATAAACAAAACGTTGCATAAGAAAAAACAAATTTAAATATAAGAAAACAATTTAACTTTCAAAATGTTTTACAAAAATTAAAAGATATAGAATAATATGTTTTGTAGCAAGTCTCTATTAAGTATCAATCGCCATTCTTATCACTGTCTTATTGAATTTTATTTATAAAATTATAATACCATATAATATTTTTTTCTAGAAAAATGCAACAACTTTTGTATTTAATTTAGTATAATATGGTATAGTACATTAACATCTCGTACAAAACGATTTTAAATCCAATAAAAAGTAGTCAACTCTTTTAAATAATTAGCATATTACATTTACTCAATTTGCTCACGATTAACTAGTAACCACATTAGAACGACACTACCAATTGTTATTTATTGTCAAAAACATTATTATATAGGTCTTGTAAAGTTTTACAAATTAAAATATCTTTTAAAATAGCCGATTGAAAATTTCAATTTGGTTTTTTTCTTAACAAATCATTGTGACTAAACATATTATTACACTGTGTCGACTACCACCAGCTGCTCGGCCCTTACCCAGACGTTCTCCTATTTACTATTATGCAATTTAGCCGAGTTGATGTTATTGTTATGAATAAATCGTTGGGTATGCGTACTTGGAACGACGACGTAACGGCTGATATGATTTCGTAATATCGTTCCCAAGGGTGGTGCTTGTCCGGTCTGAAAGGCATGAGCAGGTAATAGAGACCCAGCAGAGGCATCAGCAGCAGAGTGGCTCTGAACGATTGCAACATGGCCCTGGACGGCGTGCTGTTCGACAGATGCGAAGGACCGGCTTGCAGTTTGACCCAAAGCACACGGACGATATTAAACAGGAACAACACGTTGATAGGCAAACAAAAGATGACCGGCATTACCAGCACCGACCAGTAAGCTTCGTTCATCCAACACCTAGTGGAAACATGGGAAAAACGTTGACCGACAATTATTATGATTAAAAAATAAATATAATATACACCTGGCCGAATAAGTAAAAGACATTTTGCATTAGCGTTTAGGTAAAAGAATTGGACGGAGTTGGGAATAATTAATGGTTAGACAGTGCATTTTTACAGTTTCAATTAAAACGTCTATAACTACTCCACTGTTTATAATCATTTAAACTGTACGGTGTAAATTAAAAAAAAAAATTATATTTATTAGTAGTTAAATATAAATGACTACAATAACTAATTTGATAAATATTTAAATATTATAACGACCAGTCTCACTTATTTAAATCATCTAATGTAATGTTATCAAAGAACAATATCCCGTACTGAACACATAGAGCAAAAACATGTTTTCATAATGGCTGTAAAAATCAATTAAAACATAGTTTTTTGGCCAGAGATTTCCAAAATATTTTGAAAATATTTCCAATAATAATATGTTTCATTATATTTTTGTTTATTTTAAATATATGTCCTTAAAAATCAATTGACAGTATGTTTTGCAGAGTTTCAATACATAATGAACTTTTTAGGCAGTTTTTACATCATACTTGGATTATTATATTATTTGCATTACCAGACAACAAAAAACATGCTTACTCGGATGTCTGCATGTGGACGATTCTGAGTATGGCGTACACGGATATGATGGCCATCGGAGTGGACCAAGCCAACTTCCACAGCCATCGAACAAGAGTGTCTTCAGCAGTAAAAGCGTAGGCCAGTAAAGTGTGCAAATAGAAACCTTCGGCGAACATCCACGCGTAGTTTGTCAGTAAAAAATAATGCGTGACTACGTGAAGTACTTGACACCACCACTGAAAAAATAAAATAAATATTTATTTGTCTAATTAAAAAAAATGTATTTTTGTAAAGAAAATGTAATTATAATTTTTATTTTATTATATTTTAGTTTCTATTGGTTCTATTTTTATAGAAATACGAGAATGAGCTTATTTTGTTTATATTACAAAAAATTAATTGAAAATAATCCGTTACACTTTAAATAGACGGATAAATAGATACATTTTGTTTAACCAAGCGGATGAGTTTTTATTACAAACAATTTATTATAATTTAACCAACAAAAAAAAAATGATTTTTTCTTGTTAATATGACTTGTTTAGGTTAGGTTTAAGCAAAAGGCATATATTTTGAGTTTTTACATAAAGTTTGCGCTTTGTCAAATAGTTTCCAAAAAAAAATTTACCTGCGGGTTTTTTTGTTTTTTATACTGATTTTTTACAGTTTAAACTGGATTGCACCTGTTGCAAAAAACGCCAATATTCACTAACTAGCTATTAGCAAAAACCTTTATAAAATTATGATAAATTTCATAATTGCTTATTTGAACGGCAGTAGTACCAGTTACGCAATTCTATACATAATTAACATTTTTCCATGTAAAATACTTAGGCAGTTTTAATAACAACAGATTTAAAAACTCAATTTTTTGCTGTACAATTTTAAACAAATTACCAAAATTTACTATAAATATGTCTAATGAAAGAATTTTACCTACTGAATTTAAAACTGGTACCGTAATTGAATTAATACAACTCAAATAAAGAAGTTTAGTATGAATTAATTCTTCAAGTTGCATTACTATTAACCACTGTATAATAATTGCATAGTTATTGATCAACAATTTTTACCTTTTCTATTTTGCATCAAATCCAAGTACGAAATTCCAAAACCGATGTATTTGATACAATGTTTTTATCTTGTGGCTAATTCAAAACTCACATCTTTTAAACGTTTTCCCTCCCCTGCCCCTAAAACACTCAACCCGCAAGACTGTTTTTTTTATAGTATTTTAATTACAATATACACGTCACGATCGATACGGGTTTTTTCGCTTCAAACCCTTAGACTACTATAATTGACACCATATATTTATTATGAATAGTTAATATATTTCACCCATTATATTTGTATCAATACTTATTTATACTCGCGCTTACATTTCAATGGAATTAAACAGTCAGGTCGATTTTATATTTTTAACTATGGGGTTTTAGTGTTATTCCAGTTGGATTCTATGTATTATTATTTTAATTATTTATCGGAAACGCATTTGTTGTTTTAATGTTAACCGATACGACGTGCGAGTTAGCCGCCCACAAAAAGTGCTTGTATTTGACCCACTCTTATTTGTCTGCTTTTAATATTTAATCAACTTTTCCCATTTAATCACAGTTGGGTACACCCGTTTTTGGTGTGTTTTTTTGAGCCTCGCCGCAAAAAGGAAGCGCATTAAATGTCATAATTATTAACCATCATCGCCCGTTTGATTTGCATTTAACACAACGGTAATAAAACAGCTCATGGAAATAATTAATGTTCATGAAAAAACAATACAATGTGAGTTAACGCGTTCCGCATATTGTTCTAAAAAAATACCATAATCGCTCTACAAACAACAACCTTAATACACGATTTTCATTGATCATTAAATGGGGTACGTTGTCTCAATGTATTGGCAGACGCTACAAAGTGTACAGGGGCCTAAGAAACTGCCAAAATAAACATACTCTCCGTCTTTTCCTTATCCCATAAAACTCAAGTTTATCGCCATGATAATATACGTTTTTTCACACTTTTGTCCGTTCCAAACCCTTTCCTCTAATCTCTCACTGAATTGATTTCTCTCTAATAGTTTGTATATTCTTTTATTCATTTGACACGTTCAAACCATCGTATTCTATTCAGCTTAGATTTTTCTGCAAATGGCATAACTCCCAAACTTTTCTATAAGTATATTATGTTGTCATAATAAAAATACTTAAAAAAAAAGAGAATATTTTATTTTAATAATTATTCAAATCACTTTTATTGGAATAATGTTATTATTTGAAAATTATTGAATGAAATATTATTTGAGTATTCTAAATGATATTATTATCGTTGTATATTAGTCGACTTTAATTAGATTTTGTCATTCTCTACGAAACCAGTAAAATTAATTTTCACAGACAATTTTCCTTCAGATTATCTTAAAGTCTTTTGAAGACCTCATGATGTCTCACTGGGAATTTTTTTGGATATTCTTAACGATTATTCTCGTCCCTTTATTCATACTTCGAGACTTTAAGTCCTTCATTACTTTTGGTAACTCAGCGAAACCCACATTAATTATTTTACTTTCATCCTAATAATTTATTTTAGTTGATTGTCTCGAACATCTTATGGACTTCGTTTTTCACCTTCTAGGCATGAACGCAAATCGATCCTTCGATAACACTGTTTCGCATTTACGACCTTAGTTCTACTACATTTCCCCAAACTTCTATTGTGCGGTATCGTGTATTCTTAAACAGCGGTTTTCTAATGTACAATATTACATGTTTAAATTTCGATGGTAATATTTTATACGCCGTCATGGCGGATATTTTATAGAGGGAAAACAATGGGGTTTTTTTTTTTAGAATTTGCACACGAGGAAATGTACCAGGACTTTTGATCCCCAAATGTTCGACAGACACTAGATCTTAATATCATGTAGCGCGGGTCTGAAATGTTTAGATGTTCACAATAATATGTGCCGGGGGAAATAAAAACGTTTTTCGATTATATTATATTAAGCGGCTCGAAATTGATGGGAAAACTATGTTACGCCATAAACCGGCAAGTAGCGCGTTTATAGAATATTCAAACGGTGTGCGCAAGGCCAATAAAAAGGTTTTTATCGAGCTTACAAAACAATAAAAAATAAATCGAACGTATGACGATTTTTATTTTTCTAGATATAATACAGAGGTCGGCTATAGTAGCTTTGGTGCGACGCAAACAAAAGGACTAAAGTTAGTCTTCCTAGTTAGAAGAAAAAAAAATATCGTTCAATATATTATTGTGGTGATAAAATATAAATGGTAAAAATATCTTGAAAAAGAAAAACTACAGATAATAAAAGAATGGATAGGCCAATCCCATACTAATAGCACAAGGGGATAGATACAAAAAATAAATAAAAACACATCATTGGAAATACAATACCTTCTCAGCTCCGGATCGAAGCTTAAAAACAATGATATTTTATAATAAGGGGTAAAAGCTTAAATACCAACCGCTTAACAAACGAAGGCCTTTGTCTTACATTTGTGTAGTCATACTGGTCTTAGTTCTTCTGTTGACTTCACTATCGCATACAAGTTCGTATAATAATATGTTAGTTCAACTCTTTATATTTATTACTCTATGGTATAATAAAAAAATACCTATTATGCCGGAGTGACAATAATTATTGCAGTGGGACACCTACTGAAAATATATATTCTATCTATCACAGCAGCTGAGGGTTTGTGCGGCCCTTAGACAAGTGGATGAGGTCGAGCACACGGCAAAAGTGTTAGTAATTATTTTGGTGAAATTCAACTCGATGGTGTTGCCCGTTTCAAGTGCCGCCGAAAATTCCAGGTATAATACTAATTTAAAATATGCATGAGCTAAACATAACCACCGCTGATTTACATACCTCGTTGTTGAGCACCACATTCGGGTGGTCGATGACCAGGTTATACCAGAGCAGCCACAGCAGGTTGTTACTGGCAAACGAAGCAAACATGTGTGTATGCAACGTGTTACGGGCGCATCTAAGAGATCTGGAAAACAGTAAAAAAAAAAACCAATAATGTTATCCGTGTAAAATATAAAAATTTTACTTTACCTCTACAAAATAATAATTTTAGCTAAAAATTGTTTGAGTAAAATTTCTATCGTAATAAGTATGGATCCAAATTAATTAAAATATTTATTGTAAAGAGAAGTTTTTGATGATTACTAAATAGCCCCATCTATACATTTGATTTTTACCTAATAAATGTAGGATGTTATAACCAAAATAAATGACCGGTCGATAATCAGTTATGAAGTTAATATACTCCCTTTAGTTATTCGAGCTTTGGGCCACACACGCGAGGAGTGAAGTTCGGGTGAACAGTTTTGGAGATGTATTCCTAATGTGACTTACCTAATTGTCTACTGTCAGTTTCTTTCGAGTTTGCATGACTGATCAGTTCCTTAACTCTCGAATCAGTTTTAATAAAATTAACTGTTTAAAGCACTTATGCAATAACTTGAAAATGTAAGGTAATAACTTAATTAAGACCTTTCAACTTTGACGGACGGCCGGATAAATTAATATTTATTATAAAGCGTTAATAATATTACTCTAAAACTCATTAAAATTAATTTTTTTAGCGCCTCGAGTGTATCTCGGTAATTTTTTCTAAACATTTGGCTGTGTAAATTGAATTGACAAAACAATTACTTAAATATGAAAAAAAATTGAAGGCGCATTAGTATCGAAAGTATCAGAAATTATCAGATTATTGCTAAATAAGAAATAATATACAATAATATGTAATTCGTCATTACAATGTTTAATACCAATTTAATCTCATGATTAGTCAACTAGAATGCACCAAAAGAATGTAAAGTAATGTAGATCGTATTGATAACATACATTCAGATAACTGGAATTTGGAAATGTTTTCAATTGTATGTGTAACATTATTATGGCAATTTATAAAAGTTGGGTCGGATGAAGCCATTACCTGTTACTATACTATTATTGCAACGATTCGATACGGCCGAATACAGTAGCTGTAATTTGTGAATAAATCGAATTTTCAATGGCACATTTTCTCCATCAGAGCTTTACACTTATTTGGGCATTGCCAATTGGTTTGTGCCTAGTTAAATGTTATTGTGAATTCCAGCTGTTAATTTTGTGTAATAAGTCATTATTGTGTTTCACCATTGCAGTGTATTAAGATAAGTGAAATAGTATATGTTCTTCAATTTCATCGACTAACCCTTTCTATTCCACTCTGGTTTTGGAATACAGTGAATATATCACTTTTAAATTAAAAAACCTTGAATCACTATGCTCATATTTTTTATTGTGCTGGTTTATGATGTACTTGGGGTTTTCCCTCTAGAAGACAATATTATCTAGTAGCTTCAATTTAATCGGCATAGAGCCTTTTAATAAATAATATTGTACGTTGCTAATTTGAGTTAAAGTGGTTAATTTAAAATACGGTGACCTTTTTGCTTTTCGAGAGGTTTCAAGAGTTAATGAAGAGTCTAGAAATATTTTAGGGTAGATACTGCGTTCCTAATAGAATCCTTTAATTTATTACCTAGAAAAAAGTCAGTCGGGGATGTGATCTACTCGCCGTACTGCATTGTTACGTTATATTATAACGGATTTCTATATTTTTTTTTTACAATTACTTATTTATTTAATATTTAACAAAAAATAAAACAAAAAAAGTTACAGTGTTCTTAAAGCCTAATGGCTAAAATTATAAAACATGGAATATGCTTTAGCCTGCTGGTTCCTAAATATTGATTATTTCTGATCTACAATCTCTTTGCGATTAATCATGATAGTATAGTCTTAATTATATGTTTGGCCAAACGTTATGCATGACGACGACGACTCGTTATCATTTTGATGACATCTTATATGTTTTAATACGTTTAGAGGCAGGTGCGTTACTTTAGTATCGCAATTTACTGTCGCAATTTTGTGTCGTTATTTAGTGTCGTTTTCGGGCCGGAGGGCCAAGGCTAAAGCATGTTTCATGCTAAAAATAGATTCAAATATGTAATTAATTTTTGAGGTTTTCGATGATGACGTCAGGCCACGGACATTTCTGTACACATCAAAAAATATACGTGTACAAACAATAGTAGTATTTGTCCTCCGAAAACATGGCGGGTTGGTATAATTGTATAAATATATATATATATATATATATATTGATACGGAACCAACCCAATTTTCGTTATGTTAAACTATACTTAATTTTTAAGTTCAACCGATGAGAACAGGTCCCCATTAACGTTTTAAATGCTGATGAAATTCCTTTTAAAGATTTTAATTTTTCTCTGCCATTAGCGTTGAAATCGAGCGTGTGTGATGTAAATACTTAAATAGTTCAGGCAAACCGCAATTTAGTTTGGACGCATAAGCTTGCCCGGCGAAAATTGATGAACTCAACCCGTGCCCCCCCCTTTTCACTTTTGGGAGGTAACTAATTATAGGTCATTAATTAAAGCGGCCAACGTTGATCCGACCACCGGTAAATTACTCGATACATTGTGCTTAGACTGAAAAACAAATAGTAACTATAAATGTAGCGTGGCTATACATATATCAGCGTATCGGAGGTGAGGAAAATGTTGAAAATATTTGGGATGTTTCGTTTAAAAGTGGCTGGCGGAATTGAGCTCATTATTTTGTTAGGTAAAGTCGATTTTCACTGTTCGGTCGCGGTTGTTATAATAATATTGTAAACGGCCGGCAGTTAAAAAACGCGAGTTATTAATTTACGGATTTGCCTAAGCACGGCACCTGTTGCTGCTATCCAAAAGCAGTTTCGAATAAACCGGCCGTGGCGTGGCGACGGTGTCTCTCGCGAAGTGCACGATTCGCTAGCTATAAAGGTATAATTTTATACCCCAACACACACTGGGCGTATGTATAATATAACTGCAATGTTCAATATTACAATATGCGTGTAGCAGTTTTAGTATTATTATTATTAGCATCGTGCCATTGTGCTAGTGTAATAATAATATTATTATCTAAAACACAATAATTCTTATCATAGCCACCGCGATGGCGCCGTCAAACAACAATTAAGATCCGACGAAATTAGTATTTTGGACCAAAGAAAATGGCGGTGCATGAAATAACTAATTACGAGTAAATGTCGACCGTATAGTACGTTGTTCTAACCGCTTGTTCTTTTGCCCGCCTCGTTAAAGTCGGTTTCTTAAGCTTCCCAGGACAGTATACCGGAAAACTCCACCATAGAAATCAACACAACAATTATTTTAGTCATATTCCGAATTCTTCTAAAATGTTAAGTTATTATTATAATTTTGGAAAAACTTACTACAGTCGGGTGGCCATATCGTGTACGGTTTATAGTAGGAGGAGGTCATCGGGTGAGGTCGGAGGGAAGTCATAAAAAGAAAATCTTTACTTTAAAAAAAATACTCTTCGTTGCAAATGTGTATGTACAGGCCAAAAATAATTGTTGTTTTTAATCAATTAGAAAATATATATAAAAACCAACAATGAGACCTATAATGTGTTTATAAAATAGTTTTAAAAAATGTTTTCTGATTTTCAAAAGTCCAAAAAAGACAAATAATGAAAAACTTTTATCGTCAAGAATTTCATTCTCAAAGAAAAGGTTCATGATATGTTTTGTGTTTCATTGTAAATCGGTAGGATGTTATCTAGGAAATATCTCAAACAATTTTGAAAGTATTTTGACTACTTTTCGAAAGTTGTTGAGTACCACAATAAAAAAGTAAAATACGTACATTATTTAAGACATTTATCATAATAAAGGGAAGAGATAAAGTTTTTAGAATTTCGGCCTTAAAAAGTAGTTGAAACTAACATAATATTATATTTGCACAATTTGGGTACTCTGAGTGTGTATTAGATATTGTTTACTCCATTGTACTTGCTGAATTATAGTGATGACATAAATAAATAAATAAAATTACACTAATTGAATAAATTAAGTGTGAAATGACAATTGTATACAACTGTAATGATACCTGGGCAAGCAATGATGTCTGGGACAGAGTCGACCTTTATTTGTATTAGAAAAGGTAGAGGAGAAGAAGAGTAAAAAAAGAAAGCGAGTCAATGATGCAAAGTTGAAGGAAAGTAGACCTGTGAGTGTGTAAAAACTCCGTCAAGTTGTGTACGGTTTTTATTTTTGGTTGAGCGACTTTCGAATCACCTTTTAGGAAATGCCGTATATGACCTGATCAGTGAATTGCACACTCCCCAAAAACTAAAAACCGGGTAAATTACAATTGTTATTCATGGTATTTTCTATGGACATTTGGGTCGAACTACTTCAGCCGAGATGATGGGATAACGTTAATACATAGGAGTATCGCAAACATTGCAGTTCACCGAGTCGAAAACGACAGTTACAATCAATTTCGAGATTCAACATCTTAAACTTTTCTTCGATAATCATAGTAAAGAAGATTTATATTATATTGTTGTATTATTTTGTTATCACCGGTTATCTCTACAAGAAACGTGGGAAGTACGCCGTTAAATCGAACAGAATTAGTATACATAATAATGTATACTTTATAATTAAGAAACAAACGGATACGTAATTTTCTTGTATTAGTGTGCCTGAGGTATAACAATTATTTAGGAAAGGTGTTGTTTTATTTTTTTTTTGGCAAACTAAACTTACCCAAACAAAGTCTAAACAAGTAATTAGTAATTTTCCAATGTTTCTAATACAATTGCATGTGTCACTATTAACGCTATCGACATAAACATTGCATCATATATTCTTAATCCTTCACAAATTCAACTACTATACTTGAATTTAATTTTATCGGCTTTCAGTGTATCATAGTGCTGGGAAATTTTAAACACATCCCTGCTTTTTCCACGATGTTCCCATGCCGTTGGACTACTTGCCTAATACGTCCTGTAGTATGAGCTCTGCGGCCAGACACATTTTCTGTAAGATGAGAAGAGACAAATCGCTTCAAGCTACCCACAAGCGTAATTATTATCCCCTTTGTATTA